TCCGCTGGCAGCCGGCAGCCTCCCCAGCCCCCCGGGACAATGGCCCGGCTCTGCCGTAGCTCCGCAGCTCGGGGAAGCACCGACAAATGGATGTTTCTGTCGGGCTGTGCAGGTTCCTGACTGAGCCCGCAGGGACCCCTGACTCTATCCCAGGGTCACTGGACTTGCGGGTGCCAGGGGGTATGTAGCCTGTCCCGCTGGAATGGTCAGCATCCCCCACTCCTGCAAGCCGTCCCCGTGAGCTGGCTGGTGCCCACATTGAGGACAAAGCAGCTGCCAGCTTCTCTCACCCCAAAGGACAGGCCTTGTCAGCTATCTCCCAGCTGGCAGGAGCAGAGCAGGATGTGCAAGGAATGGGCTCGGATACCATCCAGAAAAGGGGTATCTGGAGCTCTCTTCCATCGCAGTTTCCAGCTAAGGAAAATCAAAGGTTTGTGGGCACAAGGATCCACGTACTGCACAAAAATCTCCAGAAGGACATTTTTTTTCAGGTTTAATAATCTGCCTTGTTCTTCTTCAACCCTGGTGCTGCTGGCTACGTTTGCTGAGGCTGACCTGGGAGCATGGCACATGAACCAAGTTGTTACTGCCTTGCTTTACAGTCAACAAGAGGAACTGGTGATGGTCACTGGTTCCACACCAGGCAGATCTGCGGGCTGAACTGCAATTGCTTGTGTCTCCCTTCCTTTCTGCAGATACCTGCAACCACACATCACCTTAATCCGCTACTTCCTCCCTGAATCATGGTGCAAAATGAATGACACCCATGAGAGAAGAAGCCTTCATTTGTATCCCAGGAGATCCTGCGGGCTGGGTTGACTTGTGTTACTTTTACAGTCAGCTTTTCCCCAGCTCCCTGACCTGAGTGAGCCAGCCTCTGTGCTCCAGGGATCCTGTCTGTCTTCTAGCACAGGTGTTGCTCTGAGAAAACTGGTGGAAAGGAGTCAGTCCCTGCTCTGATTCTGACACATTACCTTGCTTTGAACACAGATCACAGCCTACTAAGGGAAATAGGAGTGATCTGGACCTCAAAAGAGCAGATTGGCTCCAAGAGCTGTGACTCCCAGTGATTCACTCTCTCAAACCATGTCCCTGTGCTAGCAGCTGGACCAGCATCCCTCTTCTGCAAAGAAACAGAGACAGTCCTGTGCATGGCAAATGGCCAAGGCAGCAGATGCCAGGGCATCAGACCTATCCTGGCCCTCTTGCCTGCCTTCAAGTGAGATTTCCTAGGGATGGTTTCTCCCAGCAACAGTAATTTCCTCAGTTCTCCCAGCTGTGCCAGTGACAGCAAGCTGGACACTCCCAGTTTACTTGCATTGGGAATTGTCTGCTTTTGTAGCCCCTAGTCTCCCATCCTTGTCACAGCACAACCCAGCTGTGCCACACTGCAGTGTCAGCCTGGACCAGTTTTGCAAAAGGACCCAACTCCCCAGCATCTTGTCCCAGCTCCCACAGCTCAGTGCAGAGCAGCCTGCTTGGGTGCCATATTGGGGAGGAGCAGAGAGGGAAATGGGAGAGAGCACTGGGTTATTTCATACTCCCCTGTTAACTTAAGTCCCCCACCACTTCACACAGCAGGCAACTGTCCAGCCTGTCACTGTCTGGCCATTGAGCTTGTCCCCACAAAGGGAAAGGGACACTGGGAACCCTGATCTGGGAGGAATGGCTACCAGCTCCTTGAGATGCCATGGCTATGGATCTGCACTGATGTGCTACAGGGATCAGCTTAGTGTCTGTGTTTCCCAGGGCAGCCTGGGACTGCTGCATGGGATGGAAAACTGTGCTGCATTTCAGCACCGTTAGGACCTAGCTGTACAGCAACATGGAGGTGAGAGCTGTAGGAGCAGGCAAAGGGCAAGAACAAGATCTTTAGTGAGTTCTCCCTTCTTCTTGTTTCCTGCCAAATTTTTGTAGGGCCAGCAGGACTCAGACTCATTTAATGGGGTTTTGCAGAGGTGCAGAGCTCAGTCTGAGATGGATAGGTTTTGGCTGGGCCAGCAGGGCTGTTTTTAGGAAGCTGGTATGGTTATGCTGGCATAAAATGGGGGAAGACATCAGTCTCGATTTCTTAGCAATTTTGAGAGGCCATTCTTGATGTCCTGACCACATCCATACTGCTCAGCACCCTTCTCTTCTCCAGCTACCTCCAGCACCTCTGTGTGCATGAGGTCCTGCCCCACTAAAGACTTTCAGCCCAGAGCTGTTCCTTGCTAGCCCACCTCTTCACCTACCCTTTGTTTTTCATTTTAACATCTCTCCACACCATCCCTGCCCTGGTCAGCCAGCAGTGCAGGGAAACCTGTTACAGAGCAAAAATGCCCAGCAGGGCTTCAAATCAGCTGCAGTTGGAGATATGGTCCCTACAGTCTAGCTTCAGGCAAGCATGGACCCTCAGTCACAGTGGGGATCCCTGGTTTTCATGGTTACTCTGCTGTGGCCCTTCCAGCCACAGGGGGACAAGGTCTGGAAGACCAGGTTGACTCTGACTCCATCTCTCTGTGTAGCACTGGAGCTGAGCCCCTCTGCCTAGGGGGTGCTGGAGGAATTACACTGGTGTCCTCGAGCAACAGGAACAATATTGCTGCAGGGAAAGGTATTGGATTTGTCCCGCTGAATTTCAGATCAGTAAAAAGAAAAATTGGCTTCATCCTGGCTCAAACCAGGACACTTACCCAAGGATAGCAAGGGTGTGCTCATTTTCTGCTCTCTGGTCCTGTGCCTCATCAAGAGCTGACTTGGCTCCTGAGCCAGAAAAGCCTCAGGAAGGCTCTGACATCCACCTTGGCTATTTTTCCCCTCTTGCATTGCAGCTGAGGTTTTGAGGCTGGAGGAGGCAGGCCCAGAGCCAGGGCTTTGTTGGGAATATTCCCCGTGAAACATCTTAGCCTGTTTAAAGGAGAGAAACTGAGGTCCCATCCAGTCTGAGCCTTGTGAATGGATACAGTGTTGAATGGGCCAAAGTTCTTGGTGATCTCAGGTTGGGAGAATCATTCTGGTGTTCTCCATCTGAAAAAGTTTTCACATTGCATTTCAAGGAAAATCTGAAGGAAAAACAAAGATGAAAACACGTACTTTGGTTCAGAAACCATCCTGTGCTGACCTGAAGGAACCAGCAATGAGGGAATGGAAGAAGGGACTCCATCTGCTCTGTACATCTTCGGGCTGTTTTGTGCTGAGGACTCTGGGGAAGGGAAGGGCAGACCTGCAGACGTCCTTATGGCTCTGGCACAGGCATGGAGCGGCAAGACTGACTGAGCAGTTCCCCCTCCCCCAGCTCCTTCATGGGATCAGTGTACTCTGAATTTTTTTGGCACTCGATCCCCAGCCAGGTAAATCCATCATGTCCTCGGCTGCGGTGGAAGTGATTCTGTTCCTTCTTTCTGCCGCAGCGCTGCGGGGCGTGTGGCTTTGCAGGCGACTCAATCGCACTGAATTCCTGCGCCTGCTTCCTTACCCGCACGTTTCCAACCCGCTCCACGGATCAGGAGCAGCCCAGCAGTGCCCGGGACTGTGTGCAGAGGCTCAGCGCTGTGACAGCACAGCGTGCCCTCTGCTGCCACCGCGGCCACAACACCCGCTCTCATTGCGTCTCGCCTCCCTGGCTGTCACCTACAGAATGCTCACCAGACTCTCTAAGCTCACCTTTCATCATCAGGACAATTTTTTCCATGTCCTGTCTTGCCAGCAGGGAAGCCCCCTTTTTCTTATATTCTAGGACTCCATTTGGTAGGGTTGAGGTGTAATCTGGGAGCTGGGGGCCATGAAATCCCTAATCCTGGCTCTGGATCCTGGACATCTAGCTCATGCTGCAGGGCAGTGAGGAAGCCCCCACCGTCCCACAGCTCTTGCAGCGTGATGAAAACCTAATAGAGCAGGTTTCTGCTCGTGGAGGGATGATTCTGTCCTGGGAGATACAGACGAGCAGAGGAAGAGCCAGTTGGTCTTGTCAGCAGCAGTCCTCTGGCATTTTTGCTCAAGGTAGCAAAGTGGCAGGGGCACCAGGCTGTGGAGGTTCACCTTGCTACCTAATTTTCCCCATGTTTCTGTCTAAAAGCCCAAGCTGTGTTCAGGATTTCTGTTGCTGTTACTGGAGGTTCATTCCCAGTCTCACCTCCTAGGATGCTGCCAGGGCACCTGTAGGGCAGAAAGCAGCTCCTCTTCATGTCAGACAAGGGAAAGATCAGCACAAACACGCGCAGAAGCAAAGGTGCACAGGATGAGCTAAGCAGCACCGGGGTATTTACCTGTCCTGCTGTGGTGACTGCTGAGAGCCATGGACGGGGCTGTCAGGGCCTGTAGACACAGACACTGGTCTGTGCTATCAGGAGTTAATAGCATAAGGCAAGAAATATGGGTACAGATGGGTGAGCACATGCAATAATGAAATAATCCAGGGCTCAGCTTTCTAACTCTCCTCTACGAACACCAGCTCCACGGCAAGTCCTTGGATCTCCCTTCCCTCTGTGCCACTGGCTCCCCCTCAGAGAGGCCAGGCCAGGAGGCTCCAGGTGGCCCTGGGCACTTGGGTCCAGCCCCACAACCAGGCAGCAGTGACACAGGATCCCGCAGCCGCTCCCGGGCTGCTCGGGGCCGGCTCGACCCGCAGCCGGGCATCCCTGACTGCAGATCCACGCCGGGAGAGACCCTGGAGACAATCTGCCTTCTGCCTGCAAACCTCCCCAGGGCTGTAGGTTTTTCCCCGACAGCAGCAGATGTCCCAGCCCGGGCTGCAACTTTTATTTTTATTTTTTTTTAATTTATTTTTTGATGTTTTTTTTTTTGGCCCGCCGTCCTTATCCCCGCCGCTCTTTGCTCAAACCCCGTCTTCGCCTGCCCTCTGGTGGCCAACCTGCAGAATGCAGCGGAGGTACGGGAGCCCTCCCGCCGGGCCCCGGGGCGGTGCGGGGCTCGGGCAGGGGTCGCGGGGTGAGCAGGGCAGGGACGAACTGGCTCCCCACACAGCCAAGAGAAAGGCAGTGCCCACGGTGTGGCCGAGTCCAGTCGTGCACAGTTCAAACTTCCACATTTTGGGAAATCGCAGCCTTGGTGCCTGCATTTAAACCATCCACACTTCAGTGTTATTTCTATTCAGCACAAGGTTTTCGGTAGCAAAACCAGACCCAAGTGCCAGAGAAGAAATCAGTGAGTGCAGGGAGAGCTGGTCCCAGTGGTTCCCAGCATCACTGTGGGCAGGTCCCAGCCCTGCTAAGTCCCAGGAAACTCAGATCCCCAGTTCTCTGCCAGGCCTTCCCCGTGCCTGTGCTTGAGAAGTAGAATGGGGAAGGAGCTGGCCAGCATGGGGAGGTGGTTTGTTCTTTTTTTTTTTTTTCAGTGCAGAACAAAACTGAAGAAAAGGAAAATTGACCACTTTCCCAGATATTGGGCAGGTCTTTCCATAGGAGGAGAGGGAGATGGGTACCCAAGGAGCTGCTCAAACACGTTCTGGGAAGCTTCTTGGAAACCAGCCAGTTAATCTGTTTGGTGTTGTCCTTTCTTCTGAGACTTGGACAAGAGTCAGACATGGTATCTGGAGCACATTTTTCAAAAGGCAAACAATCCAGCAGTGCTGACATGGGCAGGCTTGACCAGTTCAATGTTTGTGGGCTCCACAGCCATAAAACACGTGTGGTGCAGCCCCGTGTGTGATTGCTCCCTCACCTCTGCAGACACCGCCCGTGCTCAGCAAAGCTGCCGGCTGTGCCAGGTGTCTGCAGACCTCTGCCCCATGGGTGGGAAGGGAGCAATAGCTATCACTTCAGTTGAACTGCCTGGGAAAGCTGTGACATCATTGTTGAAAAGGAAAAAAAAAAAAAAAAAAGGAAGTCAGGAGGAGGAAAGGCAGCCCTGAGCCAGGAAAACACTGTATTTCTTTTGCAAACGCAGCTGAGCAAGTCCATGGGAAATAGAGGTTGTGACTATGCAGTGTGCTTGTCCAGGGCAAGATGTCAGCACAGCCCAGCCACTTCCAGAAGTGACAACTGCAGGAAGCAGGGAGGTAGTGAGCTCAAGGGCAGTCGGTGCCTGATAGGGAGGGGAGAAACCTAAGCATGTGTGTCAGATGAGGACAGTGTATGTGTCAAAATTCTGTTATGAGGACAACTAGCTTTACTAAACATGAAAAATCTACCAGGGAGATGTGGGGAGAGAAAGGCAGTGGGGGAAGAAGGTGGGAAAGCAGGTTTTTGCTATTCCCAATGCCCTATTTGTTGTAATTTTTCCCCACCCTGTGGCTAACACGAGTAAGCTGGTGTGGGCTTGTGCTGGGCTCGGCCCTGCAGTTTGGTGGGATACACCCAGCCTGTGGGGTGGGAAACAGGCTCCTGCTCCTGGAAGATGCAGGGGAAGAGAGGTTTAGTGGCTGAGAGGGTCTCACCCCACAAAAAGCCTGGCCTGCAGCAGCTGTCCTACCTGGCCAAGTCACACAGCAGGAGGAAGGAAAGGTTGAAGGCAGTGTTCAGGGCTCGATTTTTTGGAAGCTTCCTCATGTGCCAGCAATTCTGCTTGGCTGGGACACAAGCCAAAGGACCTGGGGGTCCTGCAAAGTAGCACTGCAAATTGGCTTCCCCCCCTTCTTGGCATTTCCCTCCCCTGCTGCTTTGGTTGTCTCATGTCCACCGCTGCCCTATGGTGTGTTGAAAAGCCCATCCTCTCTTCATCTTCAGCTCCTCCTTACTGCTGCCCCTCCTGACCCTGTGAACGGCCAGACCCTCCCCTTCCAGCTGGTGTTTCCAAATCCTCCCTCTGTGAATCACCCCCCAGGCCCTGCACCAGAATGATCCATGAATTAACTAAACCAAAAATGAAACAAGCCCTGTGCAGCTCAGACCCCACCCCGGGCCATGCTGAGCAGTGGCCCTGCTCCACACCAGCACTGGCTGCAGCCAGTCCTGCCTGTGCAATCCAGAGAAGTTTTTTGCATGATACATTTGGTTTTCTGCAGCTACTGAGCCCTTCGCAGCAAAGAGCTGGTGGGGTTGCTTGCAGAGAACACAGGGCACTTGCATGCACCCCAGGCATCCTCACTTCCCAAGGGCCTGGTCACCCCCATGTCATCACACCCCAGCTCTGCATGGTCACACAAATGGTCCCAAGCATCTCCTCTCCCTTCTGGGGGGCATCAGAGGAACTCTCTCAAGCTGGACTTTCTCAGCTCTGGCCCACAGCCAGCATGTGATGGCTGGAAGCCCAGAGACGCTGTCAGCCAGTGAGCTCGTGGAAGGGGTTATAGACCCTGCTCCATCCAACTACTGCACAACGCAGCCAAACCAGGAGCCCCACTGTCCCTCTGCCCCAAGCACTGGAAAGCAGAAGGAGCAGCAGGCAGCTTTCTTCCCTAAGCAATTCTGGCAACTACATCAGTTTCCAGAAAATATAAGTAACTATCCAACCATCTGGAACCAGCCCTGGGCTGGTCAGCAAAAGGTCTCTCCCAGGCTCTGCCTTATTTCTGCCAGCTACTGGGTGCAAATGCAGAAAGTATCAAGGAGGTGGCACAGTGCAACAGTCCACACCAGGGTGCAGAGCCGTGAGCTCGAGTGTTGCTCTGACCTCATGCCAGAGACCATCTTCACTCGGTCCTGGAAAAAGCTGCTTCAGCAAGCTCTGCCTTCAATGCAAGAGCTTGTGCAGAAGCTCATCAGGCCCAGGGCACCAAATCACCTTCCAGATGCTTAAGGAGAAGAACAGACCCCTCACTCCATCATACTTCACTTTTCTCCATTTTATTCTTTTATTTGTACAGCTATATTTTACAGAATGCATTAATGCAGTTTAGACACAGCCCAAACCCTGTCTCCCGAGATTGTTTATAACACAAGCATGTAAAATAAGACCAAAAAAAAAAACCAAAACAAAAAAAATTAAAACATTCTCAGAGTTCCACCAAAACTCCTTTTGCAACAACAGGCTGTACCTTGAAGAAACTGAGCTCAATATAGTCCATACATCAAAAACTTCCATTGAAAAGAAAGGCACCGTGCGAAACCACATTTTACATATATACAGACTGAGAACTAGAACAAAAAAAAATTACACTTTATTATTATTTTAAATTCCTTCTGCAGCTTTGTTGGTTTAATACACACTTTTTTGTAAATTGTAAACCTTCACTTGCAAAAAAATACAAATACACTGATGCATTTAGACAAAATATTTTCTTACTTGTACAGATGCAATACTTTAAAATATCTTGTTAAGTGCTCTATCATAATAAAGATTCTCAGAGTGGCTTCTGCCTGCAGAGTCCAACTGAGCCTTTAATGCATTTTATATATTTTTAATATAG